CAGTCTGCTGGCTCCATCTCATTCTCCACTCTTTCCAGCCATTTCTTGGCACAAGTTTCTCAGAGGGACATGTTGGGGATAATCCTTATTTTTCCTGCTTGGCTCAGACACCAACACGGTGTGCATCTCGTGCTCCTGAAAGAGCAGCATGAGGGGTCTCAGCCTGCTCCACAGTCTCCAATTTAATACAGGCTTCAGTGAAAATCAAGCATTCTAATGCCAGCAGGATCAAGCCCTGATTCAAACCCCTATGGAAATCAGTGAAAAAAGTGGCTGATTTTAGGAGACCTTGGTCCAGGACGTGGGTAGGAGCAGTCTGGATTTTGCCCTTTGGTGTTCAAGCTGCTCCCTGCAAAACCAAGCAAACGACAGCACAGCGATGACTGACACGTGCAAAGGAGCTCGAACAAGACCCTTCCTATGGAACCTTCCCTGTGGCAACACACTCCAGTCTGTGTGTTTAAAAAAAATCCCCTTCTCCTGGCTGTGCAGAGCCCCAGTGAGTGGCAGATGTACCACAGAGTGCAGTCCCCGGGCTGCCACCGCATCGCCCAGCAGCACATGTGTGCTCCGGCTTTCCCCCCTCTCCTGCCTCCCTCCTCTCCTGCTTCCCTCCTCTCCCACGTTTTTTTGGGTGCACAGAAACCAAGCTGCTCCCATCCAGCAGTACAGAAAGCACAAGCACCTCTCCCTTTGCAGGAGGGAGGTTTCAGCCATTCTCATCCCGGGGGATGTCAGGGCTCTCCTGCTGCGAGGAGGGGCACTGGGCACCCCATTTCAGGGGCGTCTCTGCACTTTCATGCCCTTCTTCCCTGAGTGCCACAGCATCCCCTTTTCCAAGCCTCTCAGAGGAGATGAAAAGCCCGAGCAGAGGCCGGGGCTCACAGCCTGTGGGGAGGAGCAGCGGCTCCACCGAAGGAGGTGTCACCACACATAGCCGTGCACAGAGGCCAATGCAAACAGACAGGACGGTAAACAAGGGGGGGGAAAAAGCAAGGGAGAAAGCAAAAACCAGATTGCCTTAATGTTTTTTGATGTGCTGTCATTTTATTACCAGTATCAGGAGACATATGTAAATTCTACATGGTACCTATGAGCTTCCTGTGAAATTTCCGAGCTGAAAGTACACATTGTAGGAAAAAATATACTGGAGAGTTTTACAGGAAGAGAACACTGTGTGTTTTGTTTCTCTTCAGATTAATTACCTACTATGGAAGAATTATCTCTGGAGATTATTGCTACAAGTGGAACAACCCAGCCTTTATATCTGGCATGTCTGGCAAGTTCCTTCCAATGATATCAGTGAAGAATTTTAGGAGAGCTCTTTGATGTAATTGAATTCATTATAAACAGCATGGCCATCAAATATAGGAAATAACATCCAGAAAGAGTGGGCCACAGATTTTGAGCCAGTGCTGCCTTCAGCCAGGGCACTAAGAGGCAGTGATTTGGGGTGCCTTAATGTCCAGCAGCAGAGACTGACTGTGAATCTTTTTCTAATTATTGATTCTAAAAACTGACCCAGAAGCCAAAAGTGCTGTTGCTTTGTACCAGCTGCATGGGGGTGCAGGCAGGACAGGAGAAGGGGTTCTCACCTCTCAACAGGCTTTGACCAGAGACCTTACAGCCACGTCACTTGGATGTGCCAGTCCTTGCGAGACGCTGCCTGAATAGCAATGCCCCCGCCTGAATGGAGTTCAGATCCCATCAGAAAATGCCCCCTCTGTGAGGGACACGTGCGGCGACACTGCCACGCTGGGGAGGGATGGACTTTTCTCACTGTTGCAGATCGATACAGGCAGGATCTTCCCAGGCAGGGCCTGTCTTCTTGGGTTTGTGTTCTCACTGTCCTCGGGAGGGCTGGGCCGTAGTGGGGGCTCCAGGACTGGACAGAGCACAGGGAGCAAACACCAGCCCTGCCCCTCCGCCGTCGGTGGGAGCTGTGCCACCAGTTATCAGGGGAATCATCAGGGAGTGTTCACTGAGTCGGGAATGCCATGGCCATCCACAGTAAAATGAGAAGGCATCGGCTGTAACATCTGGCCATTTCTCCTCGGGAAACGGGTGCCGCTCTCCGTGCGTGTCAGCCAGGGATGGCACCCGGAGAGGCCGCGGCGCTCACGGCACCGTGGCAGAGGAGACGTCCAGATGGCGTTTTCTCCTCTCCCAGCACTCAGCCCTGGGGTACCCGTGTCCTCCCAGTCTGCTCTGGGGTTTCCATGCCCCTGTGACAGCAAACTTTGACTCCCACTCGCCTTGGGCATCCCCACACCCTGGCACCCCTTGCCTTGCCAGAACTCCCCTCCGTGCATTCACCTTTCCACAGTTCCCAGCTTTTGGGTGATCCTGTTTTCCACAGCACCTTATCTCCCCTTCTTCAAAAAAAAAATCCTCTCTCTACAACAATAATACAACTTGGTTCCTCACTCTGCCTTTCAGGAACCCCTGCCAGCTTCTACCCCTTTGGTTTTTACAATACAGACATCCCTCTTCTCATGCTTGTTTATTTTTTCTCAGCCCTTTTGTTCCCTCCCTGCCGCTTCCCTGTCGATTGCTGCTCAGTGTGGTTGTGACCCGACTTTGAAAGCTGGCTTGAAGTGGTGTTCTAATATTTTTGTGGGGGATTTTATAGCCCATGCTGGTGAATGGACTGAAGCATACAGAATTTAAAATGACTCTACTTTGCTGTCAGAAAACTAAACACGGACATCTAAGACGCACTTGTTAGAATTTCTTCCTTAGAAATCTGAAAGGTTGCGATGTCCTTAATATCCAACAAAAGAAAAAGGGGTTATTAGCTGTGCTTGCTGGCAACATGGATGCTGCTGGCTTCAAAAGCTGTGATTTGCTCACCTTGCACATGTAGCAAGGAACAGATCCGTCTGCTCCAGCCGTCCCAAACCTCGTAGGGTTCATAGCCAGCTCATGAATTTTTCACAGCTGCTCCCTGCATGATGCTGGGTCTTACTGTCACTTACCTCATGCTTTGCCAGAAATATTCTGCACATGATGGCATCAGATAATGTTGATAAGGCTGGACTTCCTAGGAGAAAGCTCAGAAGATTGAAGCTACTCAGTTGAAAGCCTGGCCACCTACCCAAGATCTTGGCTCCCAAAAACATGCTCAGAAATGCAGAATCAGTAATAATTCCAGAAAAAGAAAATTAGATATTAGGGAAAATTTCTTCACTGAAAGGTTTGTGAAGCAATGGAACAGCTGCCCAGGGAAGTGGTGGAGTCACCATCCCTGGAAGTGTTTAAAAAATGTGTGGATGTGGCACCTGAGGACGTGGTTTAGCGGTGAACACAGTGGAGGTCTGGGTTGACGGTTGGACTTGATGACCTTAAAGGCCTTTTCGAACCTGAACAGTTCTGTGATTCTATATCATTCTTCTTAATGATTCTCTGAAAAGTCAGGGACTTTGAGACTCTGATCTCCACACTTGCACCCGAGCAGGCTCCTGAAATGATTACTGTCTGTCTTGCTTTTCTACCCGTCTCCCTCCAGGCATCGTCCGCGCCTCCAGCGTGTTCCCCATCCTAAGCACAATTTTGCTGTTGCTGGGAGGACTCTGTGTCGGAGCAGGAAGGATTTACAACAGCAAAAACAACATTATTCTCAGCGCTGGGATTCTCTTTGTTGCAGCAGGTACGTTCTCCTTAAACTGAGTCCTTAAGAAGCGCCGCCTTTTGCAACTGAAAAAGACTGGAAAAGCTCGTTGGCAATTCTTTCCCTGGCACCCCTTTCCTGGATTGAGGGCATTAACAACATCACACCAGGCAAATTTCTTCAGACACAATTATCTTCTTGAAGCCCTAAAATAAGTATATTCTAGAAAAGCCTTTAGTTTTCCTGGAAAAGGAAGTGAAAATCAGTAACAAGCATGTTTTACACTATTTAAAATGTATTAAACATTAGATGAATCAGGCACCTCTTCCACCTAAGGCCTTTTCCTTATTTTTAATGTGGTGGCAGAAAACATTCACCTCTGATAGGTGAGCCTGTTTTTCACCCAAGAAACATCTGAGAGAGTCAGCCCCATTGTTAATAGCTTTCCCTGAAGCCTGGATTAAACAGGCTGCATTTAGATGAAAATTCAGCAAGGTGGAAGAGAACTTATCTTGATCAAGGTGAACAGCCATAGCCCTGAGCTCAAAATGTATTTTTATCATTATTCTGAATGTTAGAATCCCACTAACAATATTAGTGAGCTCCCATATGCTGCTTCTTTCCCGCTGTGGAAATGAAGAGGTGGGGAAAAAAATCCGGCTGAATATTTTGGCATCCGTGCGAATGTACCAGACGTGGATCCATTGTTTGTTTTTCAAGAATAAATGGAACCTTGAGACAAATTAAAGAGTCAATAACTGTAATAAATTTCCCGGTCGCAATCTTTGAACCATTCAGGTGCAGAAAGTAACATATCTTGAATTTCAGCTTCCCAGCCACATAACCACTGATTTATGTTTTTCTCTCTCTAGGGCTAAGTAATATCATAGGGATCATTGTCTACATATCAAGCAACGCAGGTGACCCAAGTGACAAGCGAGATGAGGACAAAAAGAACCATTACAACTATGGTTGGTCTTTTTATTTTGGAGCCTTGTCTTTTATTGTGGCCGAAACCATAGGTGTTCTGGCTGTGAACATTTATATCGAGAAGAACAAAGAGCTGAGGTTTAAGACCAAGAGGGAATTCCTTAAGACTTCCTCCAGTTCTCCTTATGCCAGGATGCCAAGCTACAGGTACAGGAGGAGGAGGTCCAGATCCAGCTCTCGATCTACGGAGCCTTCTCCGTCCAGAGACATTTCCCCGGTTGGCATGAAGATAGCGAGCACCATCCCCATGAACGAGATTTCCATGTACACCCTCTCCAGAGAGCCTTTGAAGGTCACGACGGCTGCCAGCTACAACGCAGACCAGGAAGCCAGCTTTCTGCAGGTCCACAACTTCCTTCAGAAGGAATTTAAGGAAGGACTCCACGTCAACATGGTCAACAGGAGGACGACGCCTGTTTGAAGCACCTTCCTCCCTCGCGCTTTTTTTGAAGAAATATCAGAACAGAAGGGATCTGTCATGAGAGAAGGAGCGATGTTAAAATACCCTCTCACCTCTTTAATTGTGGCATGTGTTGAGGTAGCAAGTGGAGATCCTCTGGACCAGCATAAAGATGTTACACGCTCGTAGCTTTTTTTGAAGCTATTTGGAGTTTGTTTCTTTCCGTTCTTGGTGTCACGAGACGAAGGCAGTTCATGTCCCTGCACTTTTGTAGTGTGTACACAGTCTTGGAGAAACTGCAAAGGACTGGCCACCAGTGTGTTTTAAAGGATTACAGAAAAATTGTTGTACGACTTTTTTTTTTTTTTTTCTAATATTGAGATCCCTTAATACAAACTTGCAAATATAATTTATAATCAAGCCCAAGGATGAATATGAACTACTCATCAAGTGAGCCACTTTCCTTTGACACAGCGTAAACTTTGCCTCTTTCAAAAAAAAAAAAAAAAAAACAAAACAAAAACAGAAAAAAAATATTTTTGAAGGCAACACTTTCTAAAACTGACCTGTGCCACTGAAACCGTAGAGCACCCACGTACTGAGCAGCGTGGACTCCCTGATGGGGTGGTGAGGGAGTCCCCCGTTTCTGGGTGTGAGGCATCCCTTGGGGCGATGCAGGTCGAGGAGAAGAGGGTTGGGTGCGTCTTGAGACACCTGGACAAGGGAAAAGATTAAAGCAGGTGGGACTTGAGCATATTTGCCAATATCATTTCTTGCCTAACGTTTAGAAAACTTGAATTCCTCATCTCGACGAGCCCTAGTGCCTGATCCGGCGAGGTGCTGAGTGCTGCCTGTCAGGAGCCCCCAGAGACACTCCCAGCGAGGGCGAGGAGCAGAGCTGAGCCGGGGTGGCCGGTTCCCTGCGACTGCATTCCTGATTTCCTTACTGCTTTCACAAGTGCAACACTAACGCTACTGGGAACTGAGATCTCTAAGCAACGTCGGGAAAAAAAACCGAGGAGCTAAACTAGCAAACCTTCCTGCAGCGACGGGAGCGGAGCGTCGGCAGAGCAGATGGCAACTTTGTATTTTTAAAAAAAAAAAACCAGAACAAAAAAAAAAAAAATAGTCACCGTTTATGAGATATTTATTAAACTCTTTTTATTATGAATAAGTGCCGCATGGTGCAAGGTATAGTTGCTTTTAGATGGAAATGGTGGTTCGACCTGATTTAATTTATTTTGTAATGATGCATCTACTTACGTGCAGAGAGCCCACTGCAAACTCTATGCATCACGTAAGGAGGGAACTAATTTGTACCCTTTGCTTCTGTATGTTTCTAAAAGAGTCTGAAATATTTTTTTTCTTCTTCTTCTTATAAATTCCTGCTTTCATTTTTTACACTTAGGCTTGGATCTCAAAGCTCGAGGGCCTGACTCAAAGGTAATTTAATTTAATAGTACTCATGCTGATTTTAGTGACCACTCGACCAAGCCATATGAGAATGAGGTGCCCGATTCCCCTCAGATGAATTAGATGCAGTGAGAGAGGAGCATCTAATTCCCGGAGATTCCTTTGAATATGCCCACCATCTTTACCCAGAAGACTAGAGAAGTGGTGACAAGGGAAAAAAAAAAAATCATGATTTGGAAAGCTTGGCTCACTGATGGTGGGAGATCTCAGCCAAACTGTTAAAGCCTCTTTAGTCTTAATTTATCCCGCGATGGCCGTGACTCGGTGGTGGTTTGGATTCAAGGCTTTCAGCTAGTGGAACCAAGTCCTCCAGGGAAATCCCGGAGAAGCTGCCTTAACATCCCAAAAAGCAAGTTAAATCCCCTCTCCCCCCCCCCAGATAAACCCTGCTTAAGCCTCTCTCCTTGCAGGAACCAAGACACAATTCTCAATTCTGAGCTAAAGTCTTCCCCTAGTCGCTGTTGAGCTCTGCTGGGCCCTCAGCCTGGCAGAGCCACATCGTTATTTTGGCAGAGGTGGGTTGGAGCCTTCATCCCTGCTCATTAAGAGTTTCCATTCAGGTTAAAACTCTGCTGGGATCCTTTTATCGAACCTCTGAACTCTGAGAGCTAAAGCGAACGGAGCGATGGGAACGATTTAAAAGTAGAAAATGTTGTGCTACTTTCTGTATCAACACACTATGGAGAAAGATGTTACACAAGCTTTTTAAAAAAAAAAAAAATTCAAACAGAGGCAGACAAGAAAACTTTTTTACCTACTTTTCGGCTAGGACAACATAAAAGAGTTCTAAAATTATTAAAGTTCTTGATGAAAGGTTTTTTTTACAAGAATCTTTATGCTTTCAGACAATAAATTATTTCCTACTTTTTGAGACTTCGTAATATTAAAATACTTTGATTAGCTATGATAGAAGTAGAAGTTTGCAATGAAAAAAAAACCAACCTTCTGTCTCATTAGTGTGTCATACTAAGTGCTAATTAATTTACATCTAATTATAGTCGATGTATTTTTCAAGTGCAATTTCCCAGAACTATTTGTTTCCCACTGTGTTAATAAACTAATAGTTAGAACTAAGTCCTCATCCGTGTTTACTGTAATTAAGAATAAAACCATTCCCTTTAAAACCAGGAGTTAGATATAGGCTGTTTCTCTAAACTCATGTACCTTGAACTGGAAGTTGACAGTGTGAGGTTTGCTCCGCGCGTTGGTTTTGTTCTTTTAATCGTCCTTCTCCAGTGAATGTGCTTCAAACCATCTGATTCCAGCCAAAGTCCAAGGTTTTCCTTCAGCCCAGGTCAGACCTGCAGAGGCACATGAAGTATTTTTACACCACGTTGGCAAAAAAAAAAAAAAGTCTTGCTGAGGGTTTTTGGGGTGTTGCTCTTTGGCAGAGCCTCCTCCCCCAGGGCAGGGCTGCTCTCAGCAGCTCCCCGAGTGTGATGGCCTGTCTTGGTCCGAGCCAGAGCATCTGCTCCTTCTCCAGCAGGCACCTTGGAAAAATGGAGCTGGAGCGGGGATCATGGGATGCTCATGGGATACGGGGCCTGGGCAGGGAGCAAAGGCACAGAAGTGGAGGTAACAGGGACCAGAGCTTTCGTCCTGCGGGAGGACGGGGGCTGCCATTGAAAACTCACACAGTTGCAGTGCAGTAAATTGTTCAACCAAAGCAAAAAAAAAAAAACTTTTCACTTGACATTCCCAGTAAAAAAAAAAAAAAAATCCTCAAATAATCAGTCCTTCCCTGTGGAAAACTTTGATTCCGACAAAACTGTAAAATCTGCAGCATTCCTGCCCATGAACAATCTCGCTCCATGGCTGATCTATCTGAACAGTTAGATTGTGCTCAGACTTTGAAACCATTCAGTGATAGTTTAAAAAAAACCATCTGTTCTTCCACATCTCTCTGGTTTCCCTGGACAGCATCAGAAAAATGAGCCCCATTTCTCAGCAAGGCCTGTAGATATCACAGAACCATATCATTAACGATAATCAGTTTTCTGGTATATAACATACTGTAACAGCAGAACCAAAAAAAAAAAAAAAATGCTATCGGATCAGATTTGATTTTCCAGGAAACAAAGTTTCAGGTGTATCATCAGCTCTCTCTCTTCCTCGTTTCTCATCCACAATAGGAGTAAAAAGAGAAATCACTTCAGCTGCCCAGACATCTAACAATAAACTATTTTTCTATTTCCTTTTCTCTCTGTATGGATCACATATCCACAAGGGCTAATATATCACGTCCCTTGAGGCTACATTTCTGTCTGCAGTTCTAAAGTGTTATTTCCACTGTGCTTCAGTTCTACTGGTATAATCACAACCATGTATAATGTACTTAATCCTTACTTTTTAAATAAACCATTTTAAATGTATCCGGTTTTGTGTGGAGAAAGGTATATAGATTTTTAATTTCCAGATTCTCTGAGCTGAGATTTCTGTGTTTATGTTTTCATGTTTCTCTCTGTTTGATTGCAGCTGCTAATGTTACTGGAAGCCAATATATGGGATAGATAGAACTATTCTTGTGGTCCCACAGAATCTCCAAGATAAGCTATCCTCACAATATTTCCAGTTAGTTGGGTTGGGAACTAAGAAAGACCTTCTAGTTTCCAGCTTCAGTTCCCATTTTGAGCCTGGTGTGGTGGCCAGAAGCCACTGCAAACCACCATTGAGAAAAACAACCCGGTGTCTTCTGAGGTGCTCACCCTGAGCCTGTGCTTTCTTTCAGCTTTTGAGGTTTCATATGAACTCACCTCCAAGCATCCTCCTTTCCCCTGACCTTGCCCATTTTGCCTGAAGGAAGCCTGACTCCACATGCTGAAGCTCCCACAGCCTTGCTCTGATCACCACCCCAAAATCCCGGCGGGACGAGTGGTGCAGAACACAGGGCAGCAGTTCAGCAGCCTCTCCCTGCTCCCAGACATCCCGAGCCATCCCTGTATATACAGGCAATATTTCTTCTTCAAATCCTTCTTTTAACTTTACCTCCCAGCTCCTCAGCCTCCAGACTGTCTCTAAAGATGAAGACTGCCCGTGTGTCTCCATCCGCCTCTCCCGGCCGTGTGATGAATTGGCACGTCTGGAGGGAGGCAGGGGATTCATCTTTTCAAATGCCTCTGACACACGGCAGAGAAGCCCTTTAAAGCTCGAGCCCAAAGCTGGTTCCCCTGGACTGAAACAAATAAAGGCTTTTCCCACATTGTTGAGCAAGTCCATGGGTAAGTGGTGACCCCAGGAGCTGAGGCTGCCCTGCTGTGAACGGGGCTGTATCAAAAAGTGGTGTTTGGGGTGGGGGAAAGTAAAGAGTCCTTAAAGCTTTGGAAAAAAGAGTCCAGCAAGGAGGATGTGGCATTACCTTGGAATGAGAAAAGTAACAGACATGGGCGGTGCTGAAAATAAAAGGGAATGGAGAGGCTCTGCACCTGTCTGCAACCGGGCTCAGCTTACAGCCCCGCTGCCGCCCTTCCCCAGAGCCAGGGGATCGCTTCCCAGAACGGCACACCCGGCACGGCGGCGGTATTTTGGGAGAAGGGAGCTTGGATCAGTCACACGGGTTGACCAGCCCTGCCTGTGCCCCGTAGGGAAGAGACTGGGCTGCGTACAGCAGGGTTGGGGTCTGTTAAAAAATAAAATACCAACCAAAACACGCACTCACACCTTTTGCTGTTGCCTTCAGAGCTGGCAGGATTTCAGCCCCAGAATTAGGGAGCTTTTAGAGGGTGCCATTGCCAAGTATTGGCCACGCAGAGCCCATGGTGATCCCGGTGGTCTCACCCCACTGGGGCAATGCAGGCTGAGGAGCCCAAATATTTTCCTGTTGGAAAAAAGCTGTTTGCTGAACTCACATTTGAGCTGGGAGCAGACCAGCTGCCGGCTCCCCCTCTCTGGGTTATTCTCACCTGCGAAGGGTCTTCTGCAGAACATCATTCTGCCAGCAGGGAACCACAGAATGGGGGCAGTCTGGTTGTGGTAAATACTGAGGCTGGTCTGGAAGAAATACAGAAGACTGCAAGTGCTGGGGAGCAGAGCCAAGCCACCACCTCTGCCAGGGAAAACACAACACATAGTTGGGCTTCAGGCACCTCCTTTGGCATTTTCTCCAGTAGAGAAACAGAATCGTGTCCCTCACTCGCCGCTGCTAAAGTGCAACTAATTACAACCCTTCTGCTTCCCAGCAGGTCCTCATTAATAGTCTGTTTATATTTCATGTGATATTGATTTTTAAATGTGAATATTTGCCACCTGACACAGGGAGACTGTGTCCTTTTCTCCTCCAGAAATCCTTTTGCTGCTGCATTTGTCAGGTGCCCACCTGCCCCATGGAGCCCCCGAAGCCCCAGGGAAGGCAACTTCACCTCCACACTAAGGCAGAAGTTACCAGGTTGGGGACAGAGGCTCAGCCCAAGGGCAGAGGAGTCTTTTGGCTCTCACCAAGGTGCTGATCACCAAATACCTGCCAGGAGCCCCCAAAAATACACGGAGCCTGTGCTGGGAGGAGGCAACAGCAGCATTCTCGCAATGGGGCTGCATCAGCTCATGTAGCTAACCCACAGAGCCCATGGGGAGCAATAACCCACAAAACACTTTTTTTCCCATGGATTGTCAGCTCTAGGTCATTTTTTGAGGGATGGGGACAACATCTGACCTCAGTTGCAGCAGTGTGAGCTTTCGGTCCCCAGGGAAGCCACTGCTCCTCATGTTGGGGCTCATTAAAGTTCATTCACACTCCCAGCTCCACTCATCAGGAAGGAAGGATGAATTTTTCCCTTCTGATTTCACTTTAGTTGTTTCCTGGAAATTAGGAAACTCAAAACAAAACCAAAACCGTAGAACTTATCCAGATTGAAAGACCTAAATGAGAACAAAAAGCATGATTCTTGCCAACACTGGAAGAGACACAGAGACCAACACCAGCGAAGAAATTAATGAGTTCCCACCCTGCAGTCCTTGTAGGTTGTAATTAGTCTAAAGCAGGATCATTAGCACTTGCTTCCTCAGCAACCAGAACCTCACTTTGTGCCCACATTTGCAAACACACATTCACTTCCCTCTGTTCCACCTGTGGAGTTTGGAGAATCAAGGAAGCGAAGTGGGGATGCAGCTCCCGAGACCGACTGATGTCTAGTGAAATTTAACAAGAGCCTTCTTCAAAGGAAAAGGCATCACATCTTTAATGCATTCCTTTGCTGGTTTAAAGCCTGCTCCCTTTAGGTTTCTCTGTTTCATGAGAACTCTTGGTTCTGGTTTAAATGTAATCCTCTCATATCTCTGCCAGCCCCAGCATGGATGTGCCTGTGGTCTCTGGTCCTGCCTTGCTCCATGTCCCCTCTGTCCTCTCTGGTCCCTGTCCCCTTCCCCTCCAGTTTTGCACCACACACCTTCAATCCTCCCCCTGGTTCCCACACTCCCATCGGGAATGGGTCACCAGATGCCATCCCGGGTTCAGACATGTCCCCTGCTCCCCAGGGGTGTCTGAGTCAGCCCTGTCACACATCAGGCAGAGTAACATTAGCCCCTTTTAAGCCATATTTCAATTACAGTTATTTTGGATCAACATTTTTTGGCTTACTCTTTATTTTCCCTCCTTTCCCATGCTCTCCTCACACCTCAACTCCTTGCTCCACATTGTCCTCATCAATTTGAGCTGACACCTCTGCACCTTTATTTTGACATCAAACTGGGGTGTTAATAAAGCAGGACTGGAGTACCTCTGACATTATCTTGACACAATGATATTTGCAGCTTTCCACTGGCATTTTTTTACCCATTCTTTAACATTCAGGTACTGTCACCCTCCTCAGTTTGACATCACAATTGTAATGTCGCCTCCACAGTGGCCTCTGCATTGACATTATCATCAAATTAGCTTTACAATCAGTTGGAGTATCAAAGGGAAGGAGAGAAGCTGGTCCCAGGAATCTGGGCTCAGGGAAGTCACTTCTGGAAGAAGGAAAGGGCGTGTTGGGTGGCTGCTGGAGTTACAGTAGGCATCGAGAGGAAGCTGGCTGGTGAGAAAGCAAAGAGTACTCAAGGTTTTGCATTAGAAAAAATAGGAAAGAAAAAAAGACACCAAACCCCCCCCCAAAAAAAACAAACAAACAAAAAAAAAAAGGCAAAAAAAGCCCAAGGAAAGAAAAATATCCCCAACTACTCAGAATAGTTTGGGTTAATTAAAAATATTATTACAAAAAAATAAACCAGACATAATTATAATAAAAATCAATACTAAAATAAACAAGTTGCCTTATTTTGCCATTTTCTGCCGCAGTTCTGGGCTCTGGAGGGACATCCAGCTCCGAGCTCCGTGCAGGGGCCACTGCGAGCCGCAGGCGTGGGCGTGCAGCACGAGGGCTCCGGGGCTATTAAACTGTTTAGGATCAGCCTGAGCTCAGGCCCGGCACTATTATAAACACAGATATTTTTATAACCTCGCTGAAAAGTTAATGGTCCCATTAATGCCTATTTCTGGGCATGCTGCAAGTCAAGACATCGCAGCCCCTGAGCGGCGGCCGCTGTGCCGAGCGCCCGGCCGTGGGAATCCGAATCCCAAACAATCCGGGCGGGATGGGGCCGAAAGCTGAGCTGTGCGTGAGGAGCCTCCCGGGCACCGGCTGACACAGCCCAGCAGCTGCCTGCGGCCGCCCCGCTCTCCCCGGAGCTGACATTTCCAAACACGCTCAGATGCGCCAGGATTTCGGGAGACCTCTCGAACCGCCCGCCGCGCTCCGCCGGGAGCGCCGCTCCGGAGCGGGATGGACGACAGCAAACCCCTGAAGGTGCGGCTGACGTTCTCCGTCATCCTGGTGGGCATCTCGCTGCTCTTCGCAGCCGTCGTGTCGGACCACTGGGCCGTGCTCAGCCCCAAGGTGGAGGAGTTCAACGCCACCTGCGAGGCCGCTCATTTCGGGCTATGGCGGCTCTGCACAAAGCGGATTTACATGCAGGAGCAAGGCCCCAAGGAGAAGGGCTGCGGGCCCATCAGCCTGCCAGGAGGTACGTGAGCACCCACCCGTGCATGGGAGAAAGCACCAGGCACTCAGGCATGGCAGGCTTAGGGCATGGCAGAAGGAAAACAGGCTCCGTGTCCTGTGGCATTTTGTTCGGGATGGGGCTCGGCCCTTAGTTTGGGATGGGGCTGTTTTGGTGCTGCTCTGCAAACACAGCCCATTGCCATCCCTCCTGCCGTGAGTGTGTGCTGGCTTGCCTCGCACATCTGTTTGTGACCATATTTGAGTCTCCTGACAGCAGCGGGGAGAAGGGGAGGAGGATCAGGCACGGTGGAAATCACAAAAGGGAAATGGGGATGGAGGGAATTTGGTTGAACCCCAGCCAAGGGCCCTGCAGCACCCAGGCACGCTGACAGCAGCGGGCAAGAGAGAGGATTTATGGGCCCACCAAACACAGCTGGATCTGTAGGATTTCCAGATCCACATAATCATGGAGGAACTGCCTGTTCACGGCGGGCATTGAGTTCTCTCTGAGTTATTCCAACAACGGCCATTCCTCAGGGCAGGGAGGAACAGGGACCTGCAGCCTGGTTTGCCAACTTCCAGAAAAAAAAAAAAAGTCATCAACTGAGTTTGAATCAATTTCTCAAGGACTTATGGAGCCTCCTCACCTCTCACTGGAGGCACCTGCTCCCACACACGTCTCCACCACGGGCACCTCCAGCCCAATCGATGGGGAGGGCAGCGGGCACGGCGGCTTTCCGGGAAGGCTGTTCCATTCCCATGGTTAAAGGAGCTCATTATGTTTTTGCTGATTGCCAAGTCAGCAACATTCGCGCCGTTTGCACTAATACCCTCCCTCCGTGACTGAGCCACGCTGCTTTTTCGGAAGGCTTATAGGGGACTGGATGCTTTCCAGCACAGAAATATAACAGGATTGCCTTCGTGTTAGACTCGCTGCTTGAAATGAAATATATGTTAACACATATTTGAAAATTTCCTGTGAAAAATCTTCCTGCCTGGGCTGACTGTATATTCCCTGTATTACTGCAATTCTTTATCTCTTTGGTCCAAATTACGTGTTGGGAAGAGAGGAGCTCAGCCTCAGCGTGTGGATCTGCCTCTAACCAAACTTGGGAGTGTGTCATCCATATGCTTAATGTCTCTCACGAAGGTACTTACGTGCCTAAGAAACACATCCCTCGCTGAGCGCCTTCCCTTGCGCACGGAGAACTCCCACGAAAGGAAAAACAATAGGAATCGGTGCATAAACAGCAAAATTGCACAACCGTGGGGTAAATATAAGGCTCATAAATATCCAGCTGTCTGCACAAAGCAGATTCGCAGGCAGGGCACAGGAAAGCAGCCACTATCTTTGACAGACATCAGCATGTGCTCGCACAGACGTTGAATCACGTCCCAGCGCCGCATTCCGCCAGGCACAGAATAACTGGGAACGGTGGAGGGGTTGAGCTGCCCACCCCGCACCGGGGCTGGCTCTCCAGCTTTTAAAGATATTTGGGAATTCGGGTGGCATTCCGCGCCGCAGTCACGTTTCAAAGGGTGAAATTCGCACCTCAATTATCCCATAAATATCTTTCTCCCTGTTTTCCTCGGGCGAGGAGCGGAGCAGGGGAGGGGGGGCTCGGGCTGCTGAGCGATGCTGCGGCCACACGGCCCGTGTTAGATTGATTTCACACTTCTGGGAAGGGATGTCAGCAGGGAAACACCAGGGTTGGGAAACCTGCAGCAGCGGAGAAAATGTGAATGAACAAACGCGCAGTGAAAGAGCAGATGTGGGCACTCCTTTTCCTGAAAATCATGAGACATAACCAGACATTACTGCCAGGACTGGGAAAGAAGCATCAGAATTTATCACTGAATTAATAACCATTTACCAGTCGCTCCCTGTGGAGGAAATGGATGGCATGATTAACGTTATTTATTAGGCTTTGAGCTCAGCACAGCGCAGAAAGGGGAGGGTGACTTGGCTCGCAGTCCACAAAGCCGGGCTGTGATTTAGGCAGAGCTTTAAAATTTTACAGCGCCTTTCCGAGGGTGTTGACAAATTGAAAGGGTTCAGCATCCTGCTGTAACAAATAAAAAGATCAGGCTGTTAAAACCGGGCAAATTCAGATTAATACGGAGACATTTTTAACTGAGGTCGGTGGGCACGGGGGCATTTTATTACCAGCTGTAAACGAAGTTCAGTGTCACTGCCCGTAACTCCAGGTCTGTGCTGTCCTGCAAAGTGGGCTCCTGTGCTCTGGGCAGCAGCAGGGGCTGCTCAACAGCTTAAACAGGTCCTTGTAAATATGGGAACCTGAGTGCAGACAACGTGCTCAGCAAATGAGTTCTCAGCAGGGCTGTCTCGTTCCCGTGTCCATACAAGAGGCTCACTCTGCAAGACAGGTGTGAAATTAAACTACTTGGAAATACCATCTCCAAAACTCTGTCTGTGTCAAAGGCCTTGTTGGCCAGGTCAGAGCCCAAGGCCTGACCCTCCCCACCCCTCTAACACCTCCTCTAATTGCTGCAGCAGGTCCTGGCTCCCAAACTTAACACAAGTGGAAATCTCACACTAAAATTCAGGATTTTCTAACCATCCATCCTGCCACAAACTCACACATGCTGTGTCCATTTTAGGTACAAGAGCAAAGTGGGCTCCAGCCCCCTCCCAACCTGTCATTCCAATGCTCACAGGGCACAGCTGCCACCTGAAACTCCGCGTGGCCCAAACATCTCATTGTCTTTCCACCCTTTCTTCCCCCAAGGTTCAACCACAGTTCAGTGGGATTGCACTTCTCCTGCATCCAGGAGTGCATCCAGGAGAGGTTGGAGTTGAAAGAGAGATTGGTCCATTTGTCCCTGCACTCATCCAGGAGTGATGGATCTGAAGGGAAGGGAGCAGGAAGGCTGTGAGGGTGGGTGACCTGGAAGGGGCAGGACACTGTGTGATAAACCACATGTTACAACCCTCAGAGCCCCTGGACTGTCCCCATCAGCAGTGGGGTGACCTCGTGGCAGAGATAATGCATTTGGGGTGCAGAGAAACAAAGATTGCCACAGAGCTTTCTTCCATTATCAAACCCAGTGTAAGTCCTGTCCATTATGCAAATGTGGTGTGACACAAATGGGCTTTTCTCTTATTCATGATGGCACCAGAGAGGCATTGCAGTGCCTCAGTTCTCCTGAATAACAGGAAGCCTTGTTG